AGTGGGATGCATAGCATTGCGTCTAAAGGAAAATTGCTGGAACTTCCCGTACCGTAATAAAATCTTGGTACGGAACCCAAAAAATAATTACACAAAATGTGTACACATTATTAAAATCTCTAAAAAGTATCTGATAATTTGATGTAGATACGTCAAATTAACATTTGACATTTTTTTAACTTATTTTTTATTGAGAATCCATAACCCCTGGACCTGCCTTCCCAAAAATTTAATCATCTTGTCAATACAAGTAAAATGTTTTTTGAATTTTCAAAATCGGACGGTCCGTTCTCTCAAAAATTCGATTTCTATTTTCTGCACTCTTTGCTCCGTATCTTCGGAACGGCTAGACCTGCCTTTGGCAAAAACTAATCAGCACGTCTCCTTAACAATAGAAATAGAATGCTTTATGAATTATTGAAATCGGTTGATCGGTGAGAGCAAAATTGTCGGGGAAAATTTGTATCCGCACATACACACATACATACATTTTTTCTAAGGTATGCCAAAACGTTCAGAAAACTTTGAAACGTAAAGATATATAAAAATTTTCATTTTCGATTTTTTTGCGATTACTATAACTTGCCCTACGAGAAGTTAAAAAAAACTATATTGAAAATTTAATATCCGAATCTTGTGTTGGCGCCCCCTAAGGCGTGCGCTCGTATTTTTCGCATGCATCAATAAATAAAATTTCAAAATTTTTTTATAATTTTTATAATTTTTTTATCCTACCTGTCTCTGTCCAAATCCAAATCCACGTCGTCCTCCTGCAACTAAAGCACCTCCAGTCTGTGTAAACACTTTCCTTTTAATTTCAACATTTTGCATTAATTGGCACAATAATTTCTCTTGCACTTTCGCACAAATCTTCGAACTCAAACACGCCATCGTCAAAATTCTCATCGGTAATAAATAAATAAAATAGTCACAACGGTAATAGACAGATACGAAATAAAATAAATAATAATTAATAATTAATAGTAATAATAGTAATAAATATTTTTTACTACTATGATATGATACTATCGTTGTTCTCCTCCAACTGTTTCATTTGTAAATTTCACTTGAGCGTTCGGTCGAACAGAGACTCTGGCGACGTCGTCGGAGGGCGCCCCACTCGAACTGCCGAAGACGACGTCTTATCCCACTTCTGCGACAAGAAGTGTCGATGAGGAAAAGTGGCGGATTTCGTGCGCTTGGTAGTGGTTGAGGCGAGGAAGCACCCGACCGCCACCTGTTGACGCTGCGGGGGAAGAGAATAAGGGTGAGTAAGAGATGTTGGAGTAAGTAAGATTGAGTGATTTTTTTAAGTATACCAAGTTGTTGCAAGGATTTGTATTGGTTAAATTAAGATGATAACTAGTGGTGAATGGCATCGTGCCTTAAGGCAAGTTGCTGGAACTTCCCGTACCGTAATGAAATATTCGCAAAATTTTAAACGTTTTCAAATACATTATTACAAATACTGTAACTCTTATTATTTTTGCTAAAAAATCAAATGTAAATCATAAATCAATTTATCTACATTTCGAATTCAATTTCAAAAAAAAAAGTTGCCTAATTTGCACAAAATTGAAAAAGTGCTCATTTTCACTTAAATTGTGCTTGGCTTGGCGGCATTTTCACATTTTGCAATAGTTCTCACAAAATTGGAAAAGTGCTTCCGTATAATCACAGTCTAAACGCATTTGCAAACAATTCTGTGCGACATTTTCACTTATACAGTGCTTAGCTTGCCAGCATTTTCACAATTTGAATAGTTTTCACAAAATTGGAAAAGTGCTCCCGTATAGTCACAGTCTAAACGCACTTGGGTAAACATTTGTACCAAATTGGCGCTTAGACTGTGCTTAGCTTGGGTGATTTTTTGAATTTTTAATTAAGATGATAACTATTGGTGTATGGCATCGTGCCTTATTAAGGCAAATTGCTGAAACTTTCCGTACCGTAGTGAAATATTCGAGAAATTTTAAACGTTTTCAAATATATTATTACAAATACTGCAACTTTCATTATTTTTGCTATCTTGTTTGTTATATCTGAGCAAATCAAATGTAAATCATAATCTCCAGAATTCTCCAGAACATTAACAATATATAAAATTCTTCTAGACGGGTGTATGATGACTTCTCCTAAACGGTTATTCGGGGTTTGATAATTCTTTCTAAAGTTTGTCAAAGAATTTTTTTAAGATTTAATGAACGTTAAAAACTATATAATATTGTAGAACTAAATGGCAAAAATTACAAAAAATCACTTATCATTGTTTGACATTGAAAACATTTGAACTGTAATCTGCTAGACATGTCAAGCACTTGAAATTTGAATTTAGGTGAAATTATAAGCCTAGATAATACTATAATATAATATACAAGAAAAATGTAATGTCTTCATTAATATTGCCCAAAAACAAGCTGAAATATGACAGAAATTAAAATAATATAAGATACAGTATATATTTGGCAGATGCAATTATATAATTCAGTCTAATAAATAATAAGTCCAAAATTGCATACACATTATTTTTTTAAAATTAATGCAAGTCGCATTTTGGTTTACTTTACTAAATTATTTAACAGTACAAAAAACATTTACTTATTAAAAAAATGATATAGAATTTGGTTTCTTGTGTCAAAAATTCATTTGTTTGGCATTAGATATGGAATATCCAGTTAGTTGATCTTATTAGATTGAAGAGTGCACATATAAACTAGATTTTACGAATTAATTCACCTAAGATAAGAAAAATGAGCTTTAGAAATTATAATTGCCAAAAAGCAACTTAAATTAAAAAGTATAAGATAGGATATTAAAAAATTTGGTACTTTCGAATTGTAGACGAGGGTACAGGATAACGTCTGTCGGGTCATCTAGTATATATTATATATATATATATATAATATATTTATATATTATATAAAATTGTCGGAAAGGTGAGATATTATTTCAAAATTGCGTAGAAAACTATACATTTTTAATTTGAAAATTTTTATAGAAGCGTAATTTGAATAAAACAATGGACGGTGGCTAATACGTCAAATGTCAAACGTTTTTGACAGATGTGTTTAATTACTTTTAATACGATGTTTTACGTGAATATTATTTAATTATGATTAAATTGTAGTAAGTAGTTTTGTTTGTAGTTTTAATTATATACAAAAACGTTTTGACGACTTGAAATATATTTTAAAAATATAAAGCGTTGTATACAGTTATGAAATTATAGTATGTTATCTCAGTATGTGTACTGGATTATAAAAAATAAAATATAAAATCAAATATGTTCTAACAGAAGCAACTAAAAAATTGCAATGCACACTTGCATACTCATTCTTACTAGTTGCGAATCGACCGACGGTTGCATATGATATGAGAGTATTTGAAAAATGTTTTAAAAATATACAATATTATACTAGAGCTATGAAATTTTAGTATGTTATTACCTAATATATATACTCAATTATAAAAATATAAAATTATATATGTTTCTAAGAAAAAAAGCTATAAATGTGCAATTTTGTAAACAAATGCACTCTTGCATATCTAGTTTCCAATAGTTGCAAGTCCATGGTTTGACGAGTATTTTGAACATTTTTTAAAAATATAAAACGTTATACTGGAGTTACAAAATTTTAGTATGTTATTACCTAATATATGTGCTAAATTATAAAAATATAAAATCACACATGTTTCTTACAAAAACAGCTATAAATTTGCAATTCAGTAAAATCTTGTAATAGCCGCAAGTGTTACTAGAAACTCAAAATATCAACTTTTTTGAAATGTTAATATGAAAATGCACTTTTTGGCATATTTGTCTCAAACACGGTGCTCTGAAAGATCTCATTTGTATAATTATATACTCATTGGTATTTATAAAATATTTTCTAGGTTATATTATTTTTTATTAATGTTATTTAAATTCAGAACCGAAATTGGTATCGATCAAAGGCACATTTTGTCGAATAACATTTTCCCAGTTAAAATTTTAGTAAATAGATAAAAATATATGAAGGTTCGGGGTTGAAAGTGTACGAGTTGTTCGAAAGTGCAAGTGCATTTATTTATTAAATCTGTTGTATTTTTTAAACCAATCGTCTAAATTAAATGCAATATTCGGCAAATTTATTCAAAATTAAATAATCTATAATATTGTCTAATAATATAACACCCTACAACAACTCGGTGTAACCAAACATGACAATTGAAAGTGCAATTGCATTTGTTATTATAATGAACTTGGCAATAGCATTCATTTATTAAATCTCTTGTAACTTTTGAACGAATCGTCTAAATTAAATGCAATATTTGGCAAACTTATTTAAAATTGAATAATCTATAAATTTGTCTAACACCTACAACAACTCGGCATACTCAAAATAGCAATAGAAACAGAAAAATAATCCTGCGATAATAAATACATAGTGCACGAGCTGTATTGACTGTATTTTAAATAACTTTTAACAAATCGTCTAAATTAAATGCAATATTCGGCAAATTTGTTTAAAATTGAATAATCTACAATATTGTCTAACAACCTAAAGCCCTACAACAACTCGGTATACTCCAAAAGAGCAAAAGAAACAGAAAAATATTCCTGCCATAATAAATACATAGTGCACGAGCTGTATTTACTGTATTTTAAATAACTTTTAAACAAATCGTCTAAATTAAATGCAATATTCGGCAAAATTGTTTAAAATTAAATAATCTACAATATTGTCTAACACTACAAAGCCCTACAACAACTCGGTTTACTCAAAAATAGCAATAGAAACAGAAAAATACTCCTGTCATAATAAATACATAGTGCACGAGCTGTATTTACTGTATTTTAAATAACTTTTAAACGAATCGTCTAAATTAAATGCAATATTCGGCAAAATTGTTTAAAATGGAATAATCTATAAATTTGTCTAACACCCTAAAGCCATACAGTAACTCGGTATACCCAAAAATGCCTATATAAATTTCCTTGTGCAAAAACACATGGTAAGAAAATATATACAAAGAGCAGTACTAACGTGAAAATAAATTTATATAGAAAATATTGAATATTTCTTCATACATGGGAATAAAATTCTGGGGGCTCCTACAAGTCAAAGGAGCCCTAGAAGAGGTAAAATAACATGCTGTAAATATATAATAAGTCAAAGGAGGGGTAAAATAATATGTTCTAAAGATATGCATATACTTTTAACGTCACACCAATTATTTTTATTACCAAACAACTAACTACAATATTTTTTACATAATTTAAACTCTGAACTGCTGACTAACCTGACTTGACCGATGTTACAAAATCTTTTCTCCAACGTTACGTAATGTCGCCATTGAGTCTTCAAAACATCCCCAAACACTTCACAATAACATTTATCATAATTTATCATTTAACACTTTAAATTCCAATTTAAATCAATTATTTTCTCTCCACTTTTGCACAACTAATCGATACGAATTCGTAACATAACCTAGAAACCACACAAGTGTTCACTTTCGTTTTTGACAGTTCGCATAAAAAATTAAAATGGCGTTCGTGCAAGTCGTGCAGAATTTGAAATCGAATTTGAGAAATTTTGAGAATTTATTGTGGACTATTCTTGGACAGCGTTTTCCTCAAGGTAATAATTGATAATGGTGAAATTTTCAGGAGTTGTGTAATGTAATTATGTAATTTACGAATGGTTGAGGAACTTGATGGGTGACATAACCTCAAAAGTAAAAGATTGCTATTTTGGGTAACAAATTGATTAATATAGTAATTGTCACGTATTTTAGGCTTTAACAACTCCACAGTATGTATTTTTAGGCATTTTTGGGTGCATACAGTATTTATATGTCAAATTCTTAACATAACCTCACAAATTTATACCAATGCAGTACAACGTATTTCATACAATTATATGAAAGAATATTCAATTATTAGTCTTTGTGTGCACTCGCAGGTGCTCCACAAGTTTTATACCATTTCATATCATTTCCATACAAATATTTTAGTATATACTGATATGTCACTCAAATCACAACATAACCTCAAAAATTTCTGTAAAAGTCTTGTTTAGATAAAAATATACAAATTGTAGTCTTATGGGTGTATAATGGTCATTAATAAGTACAAAATGCAGCTTTATAACGTGTTTAGAAGTCTTTTAATGCATTTTTATGCCGAAAAAAAGTCTTGACCTAACCTTCCTGACAGACTAGAAGAATCCTTTTTTATTTAAAGATTTTATTAACTATATGCTATTTGTAGTCTTGTAGATAAGTAAGAGACACGATAAAGGTACAAAATATAATTTTTAGTATGTTTAGGAGTCTTTCAATGCATTTTTATGTCAAAAAAATGTCTTGACCTAACCTAACATGACAGACTAGAAGAATCCTTTTTTCATATATGGATTTCATTAAATATATGCTATTTGTAGTCTTGTAGATGTGTAAGAGAAACTATAAAGGTACAAAATATAATTTTTGGTACATTTAGGAGTCTTTCAATGCATTTTTATGCAAAAAAAAAGGTCTTGACCTAACCTAACATGACAGACTAGAAAAATCCTTCTTTATTTAAAGATTTTATTCAAGTTATGCTATTTGTAGTCTTGTAGATGTGTAAAAGACACTATAAAGGTACAAAATACAATTTCTAGTATGTTTAGGAGTCTTTCAATGCATTTTTATGCCAGAACAAATCCTCGACCTAACCAGATAGTACAAGAATCTTTTTTGGATTGTATTATATTATATACAAAATGTAATCTAGATACTAAAAAGTTATATCATACAATTTTTAGTATATTAAGAAGTCTTTCAATGCAATTTTGAGACAAAAAAGGGGTCTTTCAATGCATTTTTATGGCAAAAAAGTCTTAACATGACAAACTAGAAGAATCCTTTTTTATTTAAAGATTTCATTAAATTTATGCAATTTGTAGCCTTGTGGATGTGTAAGGGACACTATAAAGGTACAAAATACAATTTTTGGTATATTTAGGAGTCTTTCAGTGCATTTTTATGTCAAAAAAGTCTTGACCTAACCCGGCAGTACACAAGTCTATTTCGGATTTTATTCATTTTATACAAAATGAAGCCTCGTAGATGTGTAATGGATGCTAAAAAGTTATAAAGTACAATTTTTAGTATATATAGAAGTCTTTTAATTCATTTTGATGACAAAAAAGGAGTCTTTCAATGCATTTTTATGTCGAAAGAAGTCTTGACCTAACCTAACAGTACAAGAGACTATATAAATAAATAAATACATATATATATATATATATATATATATATATATCTTTAAATTTATAACAAACATGTTATAAAGTACAATTTTTTGTATATTTTGAAGTCTATCAATGCATTTTTATGACTAAAAAGGAGTCTTTCAACGCATTTTATTGGTAAATAATATTTGCTATATGACTTGGGAACGACTTATCTATTGTTAAGTGCTATTTTAAAGTATACCGAGTTGCTGGAAAGCCTTATAATGTTAGACAATATTCAAGATTGTTTAATTTTGAACAAATTTGTTGAATATTTCATTTAAATTAGACAAACTGTTTAAAACTTACAAGAGAAATAATAAACAAGTGTGCAAATATATACATGTTAAAAGGAACCTTTCAATGCATTTTTATGTCAAAACAAGTCTTGACCTAACCTGACAGTACAAGGAACTCTCAGATTTTATTATATTATATACAAAGTCTCATGGATATATAAAATAAGCTACAGTATACAAAATACAATTTTTGGTATGTCTAGAAGTCCCTTAATACATTTTCATCACTTTCTCGCAGTTTTGTTGAATAAACTGAATGAAATTGTAATAAATATAATATCATTTGTAGCCTCATGGATGTATCGAAAAGTACTGCATTATAGCCACCGTGTTATAACTTGTATATAAATGAATTAAAAAACTACATACATTTTAATAAGAATATGTTGAAAATTATATTAGATATTTAATTTGGAGCGCCATGAACGTATAATACACACTAAAAAGTGTTTTGGGTCACACTTTGTTATATTTATCATTAAATTTATAACAAATGCCCATAAATTTCTTGTTTTTGAGATTAAACTTATATATATATATATATATATATATATATAATTGTATTCATGTATATATAATTTGTAAACTTATAGATGTATAACATACATGTTTAGGAATCTCTTAATGCATTTTTATATATCACAAAAGTCTTAATACAGCTCCACAAGTTTTGTCAAAGATGAAATTGTGTTAAATATTTAATTTGTGGTCTTCCAAATTAGTTATAAGTGCACTTTTTCATTATATATTATTAAATTCACAACATAACTTCACAGATTCCTAGAAAAGAATCATTTTCCTTTACATTTTATCAAATTTGATGCAAATTGTAGCCTTATGGATATATAATGGACATTAAAATATGCAAAATAGAACTTAATAGTATGTTTACGATATAAATTGTAAAAGAGTTTTTTAGATTTAGTTATTGAATTAATTGTTAAGACTGCAAATCAATTTATATTGGTGAAACTAGCCAAAATTTGATAAAAACACTTCAATTTTTAAGTAAGATTGCATTATATATATATTAGGTTGTCAAATATCTCCCTTCCGCTTTTTTGATCTTGGTTTATAATACAAAAAGGCGGAAGGGAGATATTTGACAACCTATTATATATGCTTATATATATATATATATATATATATATATATATATATAAGTGAGAGGTTTTTCAGATGGTGAAATAATATGATAAAATTATTCTTAGGCATCCATCCAGTAATTAAAAACAGTTTTATTGAAAGAAAATGTTTTTATTAAGAGAACATACGTTTCGGGTCTTGATTTGACCCATCTTCAGTGCTAAAATTAAATATTTCAGGGTTACAATTTAAAACAATATAAAAAAATACATAATTACAGGAAAATATAAGTAAAAACATGTAAAAAAGCATACATCTAACCAATTTAATAAATTTATTTTATAACTAATATATATTGTGAAAGTATGTAAAAATGAAAAACAACATAGAATAAATAAATGTAAAAAAAAACTCACCATACAAATAAATTTGATAAAAAACATACAAAAATACATGAAATTGCACGAAAAAATGATGAAACAAAGTATGTTCTCTTAATAAAAACATTTTCTTTCAATAAAACTGTTTTTAATTACTGGATGGATGCCCAAGAACAATTTTATCATATATATATATATATATATATATATATATATATATATACTAGCTGACCCGGCAAACGTTGTTTTGCCATAAAAAATATGCCTAAATTGATAAAAAATTAATAAAAGTGCCAAAAATCAAATATTTAATAGATTTGGACTCTGGGACAAATAGTTAAAAACTTGTTATAATTTTCAAAATTATTTGACATTTCATACTTCAAAAATTAATTCACTCGCATCATAGTTTTTTGTTTACTATACTTTTGTCATGTCATATATGTCAATAAAATTTTCTTTCAAATATCATATATATATATATATATATATATATATTTATTATCTTTTCCCAGATTCTTACAACTTAGCAATCCTCTCACCAGCCTCGTCTCTCTCTAATTCACCATCATCGCCAACAAAATTCAATTTAAAAGACCTAATAGGCGATGGCCTTTTATGGGCAGTGCCAAAATCCAGAAGAACCATTGAAAAACGTCTAAACAGAAAATTTGGTAACCCCGATTACATCTGGAAGCCTTACATTCCAAAAACAAACATACTAGTCTGTAAAAGCTGTGGACATTATCATGAAGCAGGAATCTTATGCAGTGAGTAGAAGATATATATATATATATATATGTATATATATATATATATATATATATATATATATGTATATATATATCGATATTTCATTCTTAAGCAATAAATATAGAAAATTCGGGACATTTTTTTGGTTTTTTCATATGAAACCACCACTTTTCAGTTAGACAGAGTAAAACTAGATAAAATTTACAACTACAAATTTAATAAAAAATCACTAATTTTTTTTTTTTTGAAAAAATTTCACTAATTTGTATTTTTACTGTCTAATAGTATTGGCCCAAAAAATTGAATTAATTTATAATTCTAGTAGACGAATTAATTATCATTTTAAGATGTGACCTAAGAGGTTAAAGAATTCTTGACGAGCTATTTTTATTATAAAAAAAGTAAACAATACTATAGTGAATAACTTTAAGATCTGTAATTATTATAAAATATAAAATATATGAAAACAGATAAATCAAGTAAATCAGTCAAATATCTATCTATGGATTTTTAAATAAAGTCTTGGCCGTTTCATTTTTTCAAATATTCAAAGATATGCACCCATCAAAATAATTATAATTCGGGACATTTTTGTGCATTTTTTTTAAATATCTCGAAAATTTTGTATCGGAAACAAATTTTTTTATTAGTGCAGCAGAAACTAGATAAAATTTACAACATTTTCATGGTAACAGTTATATACACTCCAATATAAAAGTTCGGGACAGTTTGGTTTTCAAAAAACTTAAAAACTTCATAAGAAATCACCACTTTTCAGTTAGATAGGGTGAAACTAGATAAAATTTACAACATTTCCTAGGTCACACTTTTATATACTCCGATATAAAAGTTTTGAATAAAACGACTTTAAAATCGAAATTTTGACAAATGCAATGTAAAATTAAGAAATTTTTTCTGCATTTCTTCAAATATATCGAAAATTTTATATCATAAGCTATATTTTTATTAGTACAGCAGAAACTAGATAAAATTTGAAAAAAATCTGTATAAACAAATATATATATATATACTGCAATATAAATATTTTGAATAAAACGAGTTTGAATTCGGATGTTTTGAATAAAACAAGTTCGAATACGGATTTAGTTGTTAGCAATAGAAATTTCGGGGCATTTTTTCGCATTTACAAAAGTATCTCAGAAACGTTGTATTGTTCACTCTTTTTTATTAACTTAGTGGAAATTAGATAAATTTTACTGAAAATTCGTATGACCAATTATATATACTGCAATATAAATATTTTGAATAAAACGAGTTTGAATTCGGATGTTTTGAATAAAACAAGTTCGAATACGGATTTAGTTGTTAGCAATAGAAATTTCGGGGCATTTTTTCGCATTTACAAAAGTATCTCAGAAACGTTTTATTGTTCACTCTTTTTTTTATTAACTTAGTGGAAATTAGATAAATTTTACTGAAAATCCGTATAATATTTTAATATTTTAATATAATAATTTATATTTTCAACATAAATATTTTGAATAAAACGAGTTTGAATTGGGATTTATGTGGTTGGCAATACATAATTCGGGATATTTTTCTACGTTTTTTAAAATATCTTAAAAACTTTGTTTCGGGTACTCTTTTTTTATTAATTTAGTAGAAACTAGAATTAATTTACTAGAAATTCATATAAAAAAGTATATACTTTTAGTATGAAAATTTTGAATAAAACGACTTTGAAATCCATTTTTTGATAAATGCAATAGAAAATTTGAGTCATTATTCCGCTTTTTTTTTAAATAACTAAAAAAATTTATATGACGCACTTTTTTTTTAATAGCTTAGTAGAAACTAAATAAAATTTGTCATAAATTCATACAAACAATTATATACATTCCGATATAGAAGTTTTGAATAAAACGACTTTGAATTCGATATTTCATTCTTCAGCAAGAAATATAGAAAATTCGGGACATTTTTTTGGTTTTTGTCCAATAACTCAAAAAATTCATATGAAACCACCCCTTTTCAGTTACGTAGGGTGAAACTGGATTATATATATATATATATATATATATATATATATATATATACATATGTATTTATTGTAATTTGCAGAACACTGTTACGATAAAGTTAAAATAGAGACACAAGAAATGCAGGACAAGATTGTGAACGATTTAGGCTTGAATCCAGATGATAAAGAAGTTGTTGTGCTTTATGATGGTGAAAAAGTTGATAAAGTAAGTTTATATTATATATATATATATATATATATATATACTAGATGACCCGACAGACATTGTCCTGTACCCAAATCTAGCCTCATGCAAATTGGAGCACAGTAAAAAAAATTCTGACACAAAACGCTCCATTGACTTGAGTAAATATTCCGTATCTAATGCCAAACATATGAATTTTTGATACAATGAAAATTCTAAATAATTTTTTGAATAAGTAATTTTTTTTGTATTGTGATTTAGTAAAGTAAGGCAAGCCACGACGACATTAGTTAAAAGATAATAATCTGTCTAATTAATTATAAAGGGTATATTTACAGACAGTTCCTGTGCTAAATATATAATGTATCTTGTATTATTTTAATTTTTGGCACATCTCATCTGCTTTATGGCAATAATAATGTAGACATTACATTTTTCTTATTCATAATCATAAAGATATTATATTTTAATATTGTCTTAGCCCATAAGTGAATAGAAATGTTTGGCAAATGACAGTCTACATTTGTTTTTAATATCAAACAATGCCTCAAATATTTTCAATGTTAATCAATGATAACCGTTTTTTTGTAATTTTTTCTATTCATTTCTACAATCTAACTATACTTCTATGAATCAAAAAATCCTAGAAAATTCCCTTAACAAACTTCAGGAAGATTTATGAAAATCGGAATAATTGTTCAGGAGGATTAACCTTTAATACTTCATTACAGAATAATTTTATATATAAGATATATATATATTATTATATATATATATATATATATATATATATATATATATATATATAATTATCCTTTATCTTGTAGCCCGATGAGGTATGGCAAGGCAAAAGAATCGTAGAAATGAAGAAACAAAGGCCTTCCTGGTTTAGTAAAAATCTTTTGCAGAAATCAACACAAGAAGCGAATACTACAGTTACGGATATAAAACCGAATGAATTAGCTTAATTAGATAATTATTTGTATTACTAAGTTTATTAAAAAATTTAAGTTAAAATATGTGTTTTTATTTATACATATTTACAGTTTATATAAAAATATACTTAATGCCTTTACCGGATAAATAATAAGATAATACTTTTTTATAAAAGGTCGGTCAGCCATTTTGAAATTTTTGGCGGCCATTTTGAATTATTTGGCGGCCATTTTGAATTATTTGGTGGCCATTTTGAATTATTTGGCAGCCATTTTGAAGTTAGGCAGCCATTTGTATAAAATTATTTTCCATTATTAAAATGCATTGAATAGTTTTTTTATATTATTTAAAAAACAGAAAAGTTATTAGGCAGACCCTATACAAGGATTATTGAATATAAAAAAATTGTTCAAAAATATAAATAAATCAATTTTATATCTAAAAATGCTAACAATTAAGGGGGTATTCTGGTGTAGAAATTCAAAAAAATGATTTTTTTTTATTTCATATTTTCAAAGTTCAACTATCTAAGAATATGGGTACGAGAAGGTTTTTGAAAATTTGGATTATTTTCGCATATATAGGCATTTTACTGACTCGGTCTCCATACTGGTTTGGCTTCACGCGAAACTTTAAATGCGTTTTTCTCAGAACAGACTTTTTCAGTACTGTTGACACGATTTCTCGAGTTTTAATCGACCGATTCACTTGAAATGTTCAGAGAGTCTTGTTTATAGACCTATCTATAGCCCGAACTAAGATTATCCCCAAATTCCAATTTTTACTATTTTTAAAAAATTCGAGAAACTGAAAAAAAACAGTAAAAAGAACACTTTTTTTTCAAACAGTCGCCAATTTGTAAAAAAAAAATATTTTTACTCATCGCTAGTTCGGGCGATTGCGACATCATTGTAGATTAATAATATTTTCTTTTATTTTGGATGGCTAGGAGGGCTGAAATCATGTCAAGACTGAGGTGAAAATTTTTTGAGACCACCCACTTTATCACCTGCCAGTTTTTACAATTTTCAACTTTTTTATTTTTTAATTTTTGTTTTGTATTTTAATAATATTAATAAACAAGTGATAAAAAAAAAACTAAAATCCATCGCTCTACACTAGAATACCCCCCTTAAATATAAAATTAAACATTTTCCTACAACTATTATTACCTCAATTTAAAAATTCCCAACAGTGTGCGTCACGATTTCAAAATTCGAATCAATGGCCATATTATTCCCTTCCGAAAAATGGCCATTAACATGTTCAGTCAATTCGTTCAAATTGTATTCAGGAAACTCCTTTTTACACATCGGACAAATTTTGGAGACCATGGTCTCGTAATTTTCTTCAGAATCGTTACAGTCGTCGGTTTTGAGGTTGTCTTCGCTTATGGGCCTGAAAAGGTTCGAAGGGCCACGATTTTGGGAAAGGTCTTCTGCTATCATTTGGGATGTTGATGAGATCGGTGTGGCCCATTTTGTTTCGTTAAGGCATTCTTTGAATAAGGAGTCGTTTTCTGGAGTCGCGTTGAGGTCTGGGATCGGTTTTTGGCATTTTGTGCATACTGGTTTATCTGGAAAAAAGACACTTAGGTAGTATCATTTTGACTTGAAGTCTATGTAAATAATTGACTCGCACAATAAGAATAGAGATTTAGAAACTTTTCTATATTTTTGTTCAGAAAATAGTTTAAATTCTATTAATGCTTGCCATGTCGTCCGAACCTAACACAACGCTTTCTCATACATTTTTACTTAGGCGCGGTTATGCATGGTAAGCGTTACTTCAATATTTTCTGTTTTTGAAGTAAAACTTCTTTACATGGGTTAGCAGTATAATTCGTGAGTTAATAAAAATGTCAGGATCGGAAGAATATTTTATCCCGTCCCCCATAAATAATTGTAGTGCAAATGATCGCAAATAAATAATGAAACTAAGGAAAAATCTGCGCTGCGTAAGAAATGATAGCTTTCGCTATGTATGTTTTGTGTGTGATCGACTTTGCCTTCAAAGTGACTTAGAAATATCAAATGATGCTCAAAAACAAATTCTTTATAATGTTTTTTGAATATTGATTCAAATAATCAGACAAACTTGTCGAAAGATATTAAATTCGGGTAAAATTCGCACTTTGTGTAAATTTAACGGGTTTGTATTTCCACCTATACCAAATTATCTACCTAAACTAGATACTGTATCTGAAAGGTTAATTTCACCTAGGTTATGTTTCGTGCAAATTAAACTATTGCGACATGCAAATGGACAATTTGGAATATTTGGTCAAATCATAAATGTGCCTGTTGACATTAATAATATGGTTAATTTATTACCTCGTAATATTGATGATGATCATTGCATTAACGTTCACATAAAAAAACAAATGATTCATAGATCAAGCTATGTGCAGGGCTTGATAAACAAAACAAATATAAAAGTATGGCTTCAATTTGTTAGGCAAGACGTTAGAAGATATCGTCAGCGAAAAAGTAAAAAAATAAAGTAAAAGTAAATGAATGTATGTTAATTTCAATTACATGAAGTTCTTCAAACACAAATGTTACAGGATGAGTTAAGTTGCAAAACAATATTTGGTTTAGGTGTTGTTTAACATAATCCACTGTGTGAATGAATATTATAGAATTTATTAATCAGCAATTACTTTAAAACGATCATGTCATATTTCAAGTACGACTTTGATTACATTATTCTTTGTATATATTATACAAATTTTTAATGCTATTAAAAATATATAATTTATAATTTATCATTATATAAATGTGTACAATGATTGACGACACTAATAAATGTGTGCATCACGAGTGTTACCATATTACTAATAAACATTATTCAAAATTTTTATATGATGTATTTATTTCACTCAACTTAAATTTGCTACTTTATACAGTAGCAAATAAGTTTTACTTCAATCGCGTGTGATCCTTACGCGCACTCTTTTTATTTTTTTATGTGAACAAAACTAGGTGAATGAAAGCAGTAAACTAAAACTAGTTTACTAAACACAACATCTGTATTAAACGAATGGTTTACGATTTAAAAACAATTTAAATTGTAAATACTATTTGCTATATGACTTTGAACCATTATTGTTAAGTGTTATTTTAAAGTATACCGAGAATGTTAGAAAACCTTATGAATAATTTAATTTTGAACAAATTTGTTGAATATTTCATTTAAATTAGACAAACTGTTTAAAACTTACAAGAGAAATAATAAACAAATGCGCAAATAATTTAGCATTTCAAAGTATTAGCCATACAAATTTATTAATTTGTTTCAATAGTAGAACCGAGTTGATCTAGAGACTCATGTTAATAAAATTTGAAGATTATTAAAAATATTTATGTAATTTTGCATTAAAAATTCAAAAAATTACCCAGTCTAAGCACAGTCTAAGCGCCACCCTGGTACAAATGTTTACCCAAGTGCGTTTAGACTGTTTATGAACTGGAGCACTTTTTCAATTTTGTGAAAACTATTGAAAAATGTGAAAATGCCGCCAAGCTAAGCACAGTATGAGTGAAAATGTCGCACACAATTATTTGCAAATGCGTTTAGACTGTGACTCTACGGGAGCACTTTTTCAATTTTGTGCAAATTAGGCAACTATTTTTCTTTTGAAATTGAATTCGAAATGAAGTGACGATTGTTAATATTCTGGAGATAAATTGATTTATGATTTATGATTTACATTTGATTTGCTCAGATATAACAAGATAATGAAAGTTACAGTATTTGTAATAATATATTTGAAAACATTTAAAATTTCTCGAATATTTCATTACAGTACGGGAAGTTTCAGCAATTTGCCTTAAGGCACCGTGCCGTACACCACTAATTTATTAAATATTTCAGATTAAAACTATTCTGAGTGGGGATCTGGAGTGTTTTTTTTTAACAATGGAAGCATTAGGTGTACAACTTCGAATTTATGCACTCATTTATTGTATATTCTATAAGTTTAAAACCATTTGTTTAATATGAATGACGTATTTGGGAAATTTATGTAAAATTAAATAATCTAAAATATTTTCTAACATCATTTAGCCATACAGCAACTCGGTATACTTTAAAATAGCAATTGAAAACATAAAAAATCGTATTGTAGAAACGGCGGAAGCAAAGTTGTACAACAATAATAGCACTCATTTATTGTAAATTCTATAATTTTAAAACCATTCGTTTAATATGAATGATGTATTTGGCAAATTTATACAAAATTAAATAATCTAAAATATTTTCTAACATTATGACGCCATACAGCAACTCGGTATACTTTAAAATAGCAATTGAAAACATATTAAATGTACAATTTTGCCTCCGCCGTTATTGTGAACAAATCATATTGTAGAAACGGCGGAAGCAAAATTGTACAACGATAATAGCACTCATTTATTGTATATTCTATAATTTTAACACCATTCGCTTAATATGAATGATGTATTTGGAAAATTTATTCAAAATTAAATAATTTAAAATATTTTCTAACATTGTGACGCCATACAGCGACTCGGTATACTTTAAAATAGCAAATAAAAACATATTAGGTTGTCAAATATCTCTCTTCCGCTTTTTTGCTCTTGGTTTATAATACAAAAAGGCGGAAGGAAGATATTTGACAACCTAATATTAAATGTACAACTTTGCTTTCGCCTTTATTGTAAAGAACTTGTATTGCAAAAACGGAGGAAACAAAGTTGTACAACAAAAAAAATAAAATAATAATAAAAAAAATCAGTAATGAGCTTTAAATATCTTTCAAGCATTTCTAAAGTAGAATTTTATTTATTCCATCAAAATTATGTCAAAAAGTTAATTGTAATGCACTATTTTCATGTTACATTAATTTATAAAAAATAATATATAATATATATATATATATATATATATATATATATAAAAAATCTCTCACTTTATATATATATATATATATATATATATATATATATATAGTGATAGATTTTTCTTCAGATGGTGAAATAATATAATAAAATTGTTTCTTGAGCATCCATCCAGTAATTAAAAAACAGTTTTAAAGAAAAATGTTTTTATTTATAGAGAACATACATTTCGAATCTTGATTTGACCCATCTTCAGTGCTACAATTAAATAATTCAGGGTTACAAATTAAAACAATATAAAAAATACATAATTAACAGACAAAAATAAGTAAAACAATGTATATGAAAAGTATATATGAAAAACAACCATAAAATAAACAAATGTAAAGAAACTCACCATACAAATAAACTTTGAAAAATAACACAAAAACACACAAAATTGCACAAAAAAAAATAAATATGAAATAAAAAATTGATAAAACGTCGTTATATACTTTTCATATACATTGTTTTACTTATTTTTGTCTGTTAATTATGTATTTTTTATATTGTTTTAATTTGTAACCCTGAATTATTTAATTGTAGCACTGAAGATGGGTCAAATCAAGATTCGAAATGTATGTTCTCTATAAATAAAAACATTTTTCTTTAAAACTGTTTTTTAATTACTGGATGGATGCCCAAGAAACAATTTTATTATTATTATATATATATATATATATATGTATATTATAAGTCTTTTATTACTCTTACCTTTAATTTGATTTCTCAGCAAATTCAGCATCTCGTTCAAACAATTCTTCTGCTCCAAAACTTGCCTCTTAACATCCCGAAAACCATCTGTACACTGACTCAGGGCTACACCAGAATCATCATTACCATCAGTAATATACGAAAAGCCTATATTTTTCAAGGGGGCTTCATCACTTTCTAAATCGGAATGCATTTCAATCATCTGCTCATATTGTTCTTCTAATACTGATTTGTCTTGTATGAAATTGTTGATTAATTTTAAAGAAATCTCTTCGAGACTCAGATCAGACTCTGAGGAGATTTTGGGGCACAGTTTGGGGTTCGGGGTTGATTGGGTAAAGGTTTTGGACCGGATTATGTGATGGTGGGCTTGCGGTTTGGGTATAGACGTTGGTTGCTCAATGGAGTCTAGTAGTTTGGACGATTGTGAACCTAAAAGGTAAAAGACTTATGTAGTGATTGATATATATATATATATATATATATATATATATATAAATATATATATATATATAAATATATATATATATATATATATAATATATATATTTATATATAAATATATATATATATATATATAAATATATATATATATATATATACTAGCTAACCCGGCAAACGTTGTTTTGCCATAAAAAATATGCCTAAATTGATAAAAAATTAATAAAAGTGCCAAAAATCAAATACTTAATAGATTTGGACTCTGATTCTTTGATAAATAGTTAAAAGCTTGTTATAATTTTCAAAATTATTTTACATTTCATACTTCAAAAATTAATTCACTCGCATCATAGTTTTTTGTTTATTATACTTTTGTCATGTCATATATGTCAATACAATTTTCTTTCAAATATTATTTATTTGTTAATAAATTATTAATTATTTCAAGTCATCAATGAATAATTATATAATTGTTAAATTCATAAGTTTGGCTAAATCAACACAGGAATATTGTGGAAATAAATATTTTTTTACATAAAGATTTGATTTTTGACATTTGCATTTCATTTCAAATTAATTATAATTGTCAAAATATTTTCTTTTCGGTCAAAATTTAATATAATATGATATAATATTTAGTTTGTCTAGTTTGTTTTTGTCAGATTCCAATATACCCTCAGATTTGTTCTATTCCATTTAAGAGGTTACAATTTCCTGTAAGATTAGCATTTGCGATGACAATTAAAATATATCTTAACTGATATATTAATAATAATATTATATTTCCATTACACAAATTTCTTCACACTCCGATAAATAATTCCAACGCATCATAGTGTTTTATTTATTTTAATTTTGTTTATGTCAATTTTTTTTTTAAATTAAAGAATAAATTAAATTTTAGTCTAAATCAATGCAGTATCTTTATCTAAATATACAATTTTTTATATAAATATTTGATTTTTTACATTTGCATTTAATTGAAAAATAGTGAATGCCAATTTCATATATCCAATATGCACTAAATTTATAAATGTCAAAATATTTCCTTCTTGGTCCAAAATTAATATAATATGTTAATATTTATTTTACAATAATGTTTTGTATCTATAATTTGCTTGGCAATATTGCCTATAACATAACTTGGAATAATTAATTTATTATTGCTTTTTTTTGTGAAATGTCAAATTTTTGTTTATGATTAATTTTAAATTCAATATGTCGCTTTTTTATTGTGATCTCTGATCTTTAATGTTTTGATGAAGTTTTGGTCCCCGAAATAATTTGGTAAGCTAATCAATTAAATCTCAATCGTAAATCTATATTTATAATTATTTTCATAAATATTGACAAATGACATTTCACTTTTTTTTGTGTCAACATTTATTTAAATTTTTAAGCATTGATTTTTAATTAGATTTAAAACTATAAAAAGTGATTTTGAATATAGCATTTCATCAAATTTAGATTTAAATGTTGGATATTTCTATATATGTACGTTTTTGATTTTTATTTTTTGAAATGTCAAATTTTTTTTCAAAAATTATATATCGAAATTTCCTTAAATTTTGACATTTGTCATTTTAGTGTTTTGTTTTTTTTTGGGTCATTTTCTGTCAAAATTTTTAGAAATGTATAAAAATTATATATTTATATTTTAAATTTACTTTTCAAAATTTCCTATAACCTAAGTTGGATATATATGCACACGATGGGCCAATAAAATTTAAAATCGGTTAAGTAGTTTGGGCGTCCATCGCAAACCAACATCGTGGCACGAGATTTATATATCTATATATATATATATATATATATATATATATATATATATATATATATATATATATATATATATATGAGGCTATAGTAGCTTACTTAGTGAGTGATTATCCTTAGTCATCTTTGACAAACGTGTCCACAAATGCCTATTCTCCGTAGCAACCATATTTATATGCTGCGTCAACTGGTTCTTCTGTCTATTCAATTCCTCGACTTTATCCTTGAGCATCTCGTACTCCGAGGGCCTTTTAGCATAATCAGTCCTCAAATTACAATCCTTATCACGTTGAGACTTCAACTTCAAGTTTTCTTCTTCCACAGAAATCAATCTTTGTTGTAACTGTTGACAACGTTCATTCATTGTTTTTAAAGCCAGTTGTAGGGCATGTGTTTGCACAGGACTCAGACAGTCGTCTTCTAAGGACGAAGGAGCCCTTGATGTAGAATTTTGCAACATGGTAATTGATACAAGTATGTCATTTGTTATAACCTTCAACGAGGGGAATCCCTGAAGAAAACATTGTAATCGATATATAGGTAATAAATACTTGGATATAACTTATATATAATTCCTATTTATTTGTATTGTATTTATTTAATAACTACATTTTAATTTTTGCGTCTTATTTGTATTAAATTAATTTCTTTTTTTGAAGTGAATGTCAAAAGTGAGAACTGTCAAGATGCACGTGGCCTCTGCGGTGAAACCGAGGAACTGTTTTGACAGTTGCCAGATGGATATGGGCGCCAAATTTAAATATACAAAGTTTGAAATTAAATTTTGCAACACTTGGCACTCAATCCGTTCTTGGTAATAAATTATCAGAGTTAGATCAACACGTCGGTCGACTTTTAGTTGAAGAAAGTCATTTTGTTCAAATTCGACGATACGATAACCTTGAGTTGGTTAAATTTCTATCATTGGCTATCATTGATTTTCCGGACTGGAGCGGTCTTATTAAGACGATTTTTAACTTCTGCATTAATAACATACAACTTGATGTAACAATAATTCGTTCTGAACTAATATTGAACCACAATCTGTCTTTTTCTATACCATATGATATATAATTTTGAATTTTGCCGCCATTAAACTCGTAGTTGAAATGTTATTAGTGTTGACCAATCACAACGAAGTAGTAGAACTGTCAAACTGTCAAAGTGCGTAAATAAAGCAAGTGAAAATATAAAATAATAAGAAAAAGGTCAGTGTTAGTATTATAACATATAAATAATTATCAAAATATATTTATTAAACGTTCCTAACACATAAATTACAATGCTTTTGGACTTTTAGACAGACACAGTTAGATTGCATAGTTACCATAACCTACAAAAGTTGAAAATGTTTGAAGAAACAAATTCAAGCACAGAAATTAAAATTGAACCGATCGAATATCCTCAAGTTAAACAAGAACTTGAAGATTATGAAAATACAACAGGTATTTGTATGGAGAATGATGAAATTTGTCCACAGCAATTTCTAATATCAGAGGTTACAGTTGAGGAGGATATAAAGCAAGAAATCATCGATGAGCAAGATTTTAAACATGATCCTCAAGTGAAACAAGAAGTTAATCATTATGATTATACTTCAGATATGAGTATTGAGAATGATGAAATATGCCTACAGGAATTTCTAAAATCTGAGGTTACGATTGATGAAGAAATGAAGCAAGAAAAGATCGATGGACAATATGCTGCGCCTAATACAAGTTTAAATGAGAAAACTTACATATTCAACGAAAACATTGGTGATTCAAGTAATATGAACAAATCATTTGAAAGTGTATCTGAAACATGTAAAATAAACGATAATCTAAAACCACATAAATGTAAATTTTGTCATAAAACATTCAAAAGAAAGTATCATTTAAAGCATCATGAAATAATTCACACTGGAGAACGTCCACATAAGTGTGAAATATGTCATAAAGCATTCAAAGAAAGGTGTCATTTAAAACGACATAAAATGATTCACACTGGAGAATTTCCTTACAGTTGTGAAATATGTCCTAAAGCATTCAGACAAAAGCGGCATTTAAAAGACCATAAAACAATTCACACTGGAGAAATACCTCATACGTGCAATATATGCAATAAAACATTCACATCAAAGCAATACCGAGAAACACATGAAAATTCTCACACCGGAGTGAATCCTTGTGAAATATGCAATAAATCATTTGCAACAAAACTATCATTAAGTCGACATAAAATGTATCATACAGAAGAACGACCTTACAGTTGTGAAATTTGCAATAAAGCATTTGCAATAAAAGATGTATTAAGACAACATTTAATAAGAGTACATGATGTAAGAAATGTGTAAGAAAACATTAAAAAAAAGTTTTGAATTTGCCGGAAACTAGCCAGCCTTAAAAACCTTTCTTTGTGGAACTGCACAATTCATGTATTTTTTTAACTCTGTTACTGATAAAAGTGAATTGAATGCAATTGTTTAATAACTTACAAATAAATGTTTAAATAAATATAAATATAGCATTTTAATTTGTTTTAATAGAGAAATATAAATAGAGTTTATATATTTTCATTATATATATATATATATATATATATATATATATATATATATATATACAGGGCCGGTCCTGCCTTGCATGCGATGCATGCAAAAAATGCGGGCGCACGCCTTAGGGGGCGCCAAATCGAGTTTCGGAAATTAAATTTATAATATATTATTTACATTTTTTATTATGTATATAAAATTAGAAATACTTAATAAATTATAATAAACAATTTAACTTAACTATAGGGATACGAAGACATAAAAAGCATAGTTATTTTGCAATGTGATATCAGTAGAAACAATTAACCGATTAATAATTTTGCAAATTAGTAAATAACAGCTCTGTTTATTGCTTAATATACTTATTCAATTTTTTATTTGTTTGAAGTTACCGTGGAATTGAAAAAGAAATTATCTAGTGTTCAATCCCATAAGCGCAAACCTGCGAAAGATTAAATTAATTGTTGGGCATTATTGACGGAAAATTGCGAGCTGATTTAGTTGAATCGGAACTTGTTAAAAAATATAAACAAATTATAAAAAATGGGGAGTCAGTTCTTAGAAAATGACTTGTTTATTCCGAGAAATTGAATTGTAACTTTTGCTTTTGTTGCAAATGTTTCGCATCTGTTGAACTTTGAATATTGAAGACATGCGTGGAAGAAATATGAAAAATGAAAGCAAAATTTACTTTGCAACGAAAATCTTAAGGCTTGTTTTATACCTAGTGGTGCCCATACTCTAAATTTAATAATTATTAACTATACACAAAATAATACAATCAAATATAATAAGTTTTTTTTTTTCAATATTGTTCAAGAAATGTGTAATTTCTTTGCATTTTCTACTGATTTTTGAACAATATGTACTTCTAAATTACGTTAAAAATTTAACTTTAAAACAAAAAGCTGATACTCTGAATATGACGGCTCTTACGATATCAATAAGGAGAAGTTTACGACACAATTTTGGATATTGTAAATGATGAAAAATTAAATTAATTTAAAATTTTAAAAATTCCAACATGAAATACGAGTGTTATGTTTGAAAATTAAATGCTAGTTTTTTTTTAAATATTAATATTGCACATACGTTAAGAATAATTGAAAATTTCAAAATATTTGATTATAATCAACCCCCGAATCGCCTCGATTTTCTAAATAAATTTAAAATCAATATGATTTATACGCTTTTAGATTATATTTAATTTTTTGTGCACTAAATCCAGAATAATTAAAAATTAATTTATTTATTTCACTTAATATTTTTGTTAAATTGACGTTATAGAATTTAAGAAATGCATTTCAGAAATAGTATTTATTATTTTGATATCAAGATCTTTATATCAAAATAATAAATACTATTTCTGAAATGCATTTCATAAATTCTATAACTTTAATCTAACAAAAATATTAATTCTTTTGCTATGGTAGTCGAACTTTCATCCATAACCAATTTACTTACTACATAATGAATATTACTAAAATGTTAAATTATGACAGGGATGTTTTATTTATTGATATCGACAATAAGAAATAAATTTAAAATCAATAAATTTTATACGCTTCTAGATTATATGTAATTTTTTGTGTACTAAATCCAGAATAATTAAAAATTAATTTTTAAAAAATATGTTAATATTTATATAATTTTAATGAAAATAATAGGGGGGCGCTGGAAAAAAAGTTGCATGCGGGTGCTAAGGACCCCAGGACCGGCCTTGTATATATATATATATATACTAGCAAACCCGACGAAATCCGTTTCGCCACCAGATGGTTTCGTGAGAAAGATGAAGAAATTTTTTGTTTGTTTTATATTTGAAAAGGAAAAATTTGATTTTATTGCACAACAGTAATGAATTTATTTCGATTACAAAAATGAAGGGTTTTTTAGTTGAACTTCTCTAAGTAAATGTAAGTGAATTCGCAAATTATCCGTTTCATTGAAGTGCTCTTTGGTAAACCACATTTTTTGTTTTCTGGTCTGACGTTAACACAAACAAAGCGGATGGTTTTCCAACTCGTGAACAGGCAACGTATAACTGCCCATTTGAAAAACAATGATTTTATAAATAATCTATTTGAAATTTATCCCGCAAACACTAAGCGATTGACCTTGAGACTTGTTATTGCGAACTGGAAATTGCAATCGTTTGAAGTCAAACGGAAGACCAGTCGGAATCATTGGTATCAAAAATCGCCAGAAAATGAAATTCAGTGCGTGTACATCATTATTCTTTGCGGCAAGAATTGCTCGTTGACTTAACCAAGCATAATTCTGATAATTCTCACTAATGTCATTACTCGAAAATTTAATTACGGTGCGTGAAGTTCCAGCAATTTGCATTAGGGCACGATGCCATGCACCACTAATTTTCTTAGCTATAAACCTTGCGGAGCCCGAGACCTTTCTTGGGTTCTGGAGTTATTTTGTCAGGAAGGAAAACCCGACTTATTTTTATATATATAGATGATTATATGATTATAAGTTGCTGTAAGGTCTTAAGGTATAAGAAAACTTTAAAGGCAATTTAATTTCGTACAAATCTTCCATACATTCCATTTACTTCTAACAAAACAGTCAAGAGTAACATTAACTTTATACAGAAGTCTTCCGGTTGTACCCAGCGACTCCTTGGGCCATGTGTTTTGGTTTTGTGTACCCGTAGTTACCAAATGTTGTATGAAGTGGATTTTGTTTCAAAAAAAGTGTACTATTTATCAGTTACTAAGAATTTAGAAAATTGGACCCTAAATGATGTAATAATAGTGCTATCTGAACTAATATTGAACCACAATCTATCTTTTTTTCTTGCAGCTATATGATATAAAATTTTGAATTTTGCCGCCATTAAACTCGCAGTTGAAATGTTATCGGTGTTGACCAATCAGAACGAAGTAGTAGAACTGTCAAACTGTCAAAGTGCGTAAATAAAGTAAGTTAAAATATAAAATAATAACAAAAAGGTTAGTGTTAGTATTATAACATATAAATAATTATCAAAATATATTTATTATAAGTTCACAACATATAAATTACAAGGCTTTTTGACTTTTAGACAGACATAATTAGATTGCAATTACCATAACCTACAAAAGTTGAAAATGTCTGAAGAATCAAATTCAAACACAGCAATTAAAATTGAACCGATCGAATATCCTCAGGTGAAACAAAAATTAGATGATTATGAAATTGATGAAATTTGTCCACAGCAATTTCTAAAATCAGAGGTTACGGTTGAGAAGGATATAAAGCAAGAAATCATCGATGAACAAGATTTTAAACATGATCCTCAAGTGAAACAAGAGGTTGATGATAATGAACATACATCAAATATGATTATGGAGAATGATGAGATATGCCTACAGCAATTTCTAAAATCAGAGGTTACAATTGATGAGGAAATAAAGCAAGAAAAGATTGATGGGCAAGATGTTGCGTCTAATGAAAGTTTAAATGAGAAAACTGACATATTCAACGAAAACATTAGTAATTCAAGTAATACGAACAAATCATTCGAAAGTGTTTCTGAAACATTTAAAACAAACAATAATCTAAAACCACATAATTGTATAATTTGTCATAAAACATTCGTAAGAAAGGAACATTTGCAGCGACATACAAAAGTTCACACTGGAGAACGTCCACATGAGTGTGAAATATGTCATCAAACATTCCAAACTAAGTTTACTTTAAAACGACATAAAATGATTCACACTGGAGAATTTCCTTACAGTTGTGAAATATGTCATAAAGCATTCAGACAAAAGTCGCTTTTAAAAGAACATAAAACAATTCACACTGAAGAAAGACCTCACAAGTGCAATATATGCAATAAAACATTCATATCAAAGCAATACCTTGAAGCGCATGAAATTTCTCACACCGGAGTTCTTGCTTATAACTGTGAAATATGCAATAAATCATTCAGAACAAAACAATCATTAAGCCGACATAAAGTGACCCATACAGGAGAACGTCCTTACAGTTGTGAAATTTGCAATAAAGCATTTGCATTAAAAGATGCATTAAGAGGACATGTAAGAGGAGTACATGCTGGAATGTATAAAAAACGTTCAAAAAAAGTTTTGAATTTGCCGGAAACTAGACAGCCTTAAAAACCTTTCTCTGTGGAACTGCACAATTCATGTATTTTTTTAACTCTGTTACTGATAAAAGTGAATCGAATGCAATTGTTTAATAACTTACAAATAAATGTTTAAATAAATATAAATATAGCATTTTAATTTGTTTTAATAGAGAAATATAAATAGAATTTATATATTTTCAAAAGAGAAGTTTATATTTATCTTAGATAGTTGAAATAAATAATTATGACTATGGCTATTCAGTTTTGAAATGCTTATATATATTATATGCGTTATACGATCTCATACGAGATTAGTCGAAATTGTACGAAATTCATCGAGATTGTACGAAATTCATCGAGATTGTACGAAATTCATTGAGATCGTATCAAAATTGTACGATATTGTACGAGATTCTATGAGATTTTGAAACACACATTAATATTTGAAATCATGGCATATATTGTTTCAAAACACAATAATTCTCCAGAATCTTCTAAATCTATATCTATATTTATATATATATATATATATATTATACATAGCTGGGCATTAACTCGTTAATCCGTTAATCGTTAATTAACGAAGTTAACATTTTGATTAACGGATTAACTTTTAAGTTAACTTTTAAAAATGTTAACGGACACGTTAACTTCCGTTAAAATGCGAGAAGTCCGTTAATCGTTAATCCAATGCCTACTATTTACCGCACGGCACAGCTTTAGCCAATGCCTTATTAAACGGCACAGAGAAAAGATTTGGACTACTACCTGAATGATGAACAGTGCCAACTTGCCGCGGCATTTCACCCAAAGTTTCGGTTAATGTGGCTGGAAACGTATGACAGCAGTAGAGAGGAAAGCAGTAAGAAAATGCACGGAAAAAAAGGTAGCGAAAAATTCGAAGAACAGAGATAGTTTAAGTGGCGGAGGGAGCAATGCGAGTAACAACGATGATGACGAGAAGGAAGACTTTTTCAATTCTGTCACTCAGTCTATAGAAAAACCAAAGAGCTACAACCCAGTAAACCACAGAAGTTACCACCACGTAACACATTTTGTAACTTTCGTTTCGAAACTGATGTTAAGTAAACGAACCGATGCTGTTACGTAAAGTTGTGAGCTTTAACCACCGTCGACGCGTTTAAACGTTTATAATACTGCTTTGTTCGTATCTGTCGGTACGTGGCGTGGTACGTTGCGCGGTCACATACATTTGCCTTTGAACATAGCCGTGAAGTGTTTTATGATCGAAATGTCAAATTAAACATAGGTTAACTCGGTCAGTGCATCGTCGTGCATCGTGGACGCATAATTGAGTATATTATCGTGTATGTTTGAAATGCAAGATATTTCCTTTATTGAAGCGTTATTTATTAATTGCTTTTATATTTAGTGCGAAATCAGTTGTAGAAATTAGTTAAACAGTCAGCTGGAAAAGTATTTAATATGAAACCGGCAAACAAGGTGAGTCTAATTGTACTGAAATATATTTTAATTTATAAATTATTATAATAATGTTTAGTCCTTTGCAGTATATAGGCCGCCTTCAATGCAAAGTCTGTTCATGTATTGTGATAATTGATTTGTCATGTAATAATTGAAATTTCTAACACACCAGTCAGAAACATAACCTCAATTCAGTGATATATGAATAAAGAGAAGTAAGTTATATAGTTTTATACATATTCATTTTTTATAGTTCCATTAGTATCGGAACTATTTAGCTAAGCACAAATTGATATAAGTTGGTTTTCAATTGTAGAGAAAATTATAGTGCTGATAACCCCTACGAAAATGGATTTCAAGCTAGGGAAATTTTCTCCAATAGAGAAGATAAATACAAAGTTAGATAATATATTAGAAATTATTAATCCTTTGTCACCAAAAAAAAAACAAGCAAGGCTTAAAAACATGCAAGAAGAAAAATAAGAACACATATCGATAAATAAGAACACATATTAAGATTAAGTGTTGAAAAGAAAATGAATTGTGGAGTATTTCTTAAGTGATGATATTGTATTACAGAATAGGTATATTAATGTTTTACACAAAGAGAATTTTAACTAATATGATTTAATACTAATTTGTAATGTTTTACTTTTAGGAAATTCACATATTTAATACGAAACCAGGAAAAGTGAGTATAATTGCACTGTTTTTTTTTAATTTACAAATTATTATATTAATGACTAATTAGTTATTTTCAGTATATAGGTCATGTGCAATGCAAATTCTGTTTATGTATTGTGATAATTGATTTTCACATAATTATTGAAATTTCTGACAGACCAGTCAAAAATCACATAACCTCAGTGATATGATATGAATATTAGAGGTAGATAAGTGTAATATATATGGTATCATACATATTCTTTATAATTTCATTAGTATCAGAACTATTCAGTTAAGCAAAAACTGATATAAATTGCTTTTCAATTGTAGAGAAAGAGTGCTCATAACCCCTATGGGTTATGTCAAAATGGAATTCAAACTAGGGAAAATTACTCTAATCAAGAAGATAAATTGTCACCAAAGAAACATGCAAGAAGGAAAACAAAGAATGCACTGGATATCACACATTATATGGATTAAGTGTTGAAGAGAACATGAATTGTTGAGTATTTCGAGTCTGATGATCTTGCATTACAGAATTGGTATATTAAGGTTCTACATGAAGAGAATTTTAACTAATATGATTCAGTACTAATTTGTAGTGTTTTACTTTTAGGTAATTCAGATCTTGAAAATTAATAGGATAAAATCAATGCAAGAAAATTGAGTGTGTGTTTATGGAATAATTATCTCTGTCATATGATCGTAGGAACTACATAGTCATTAACTTCAAATAATGAGTATGTTTAGAGGTAATGTTCACAAATGACTAATTTGTTCACAATGTTTTCAATTCAAAATTTGTGTACAATATTTCTAAGATGTTTGGTTCTATTTTAGATACATTAACAGATGCAAGTGAGTTGAACATATTTAGCGCAAGACTTAACTTTGCCAAGTCTGATTTAACTGAAGTTGCCAAGAGAGTTAAACATAATACATATTATGAATAAATAAATAATTATTTTTATAGGCTAACATTTTATGGACTATCAAAATTTAGGTTTCTAATGTTAACTATGTAATATGTAAATTTTGTATATTGTAAATGATAATATTTAATAAAATTACTAAATATCCGAAATTATTATTAATATTCTATATTTGTAGGAAATTTAATTAAATAAGTATGTAACATAAAAGACACCTACACGCTTTTTTATTCAATTTAGATACGTAGCAAAAATGTAACCGCGGTGTATTAGTGTGCAACGAAACAGCCGTTACGTTCTTGCCCGCGAAATAGATGCTTCTGTGCGCCTCCCAGGTTACGTACCTGGTTCGTGCGGACGTGCCTGCGTTACGTAACGTTCATGGCTTTGTTACGTTTTGTGGTTTACTGGGAAACTCTTTAAAGAACTAGCTGTAAGTGGAATTCTGTCTTAAGGCAATTAAGGCGTTGTGCCTTAAGGCAAATTGCTGGTACTTTCCGTACCTAAAATTATTATTTTTTTAAAAACGATTAACATTTTTGAAAAAAAATTACTTCGAAAAAATAAGATTTTTGAGAAACTATAAAATATTGGACAAAACATTATTTTTTTTTGAAAAAAAAAAATGTTTTCTTTATTTTGACATATTTTCGAAGATCTGAACTTTTTTTCAAAGCAATTTTACTGCTTTAGGACTGCATAGAGACAAAATATAAAGCGCGTAAGCGCCGCGTCGCTGTCTAACGCATAAGCATTGGTACGCAACCCATAGGAATGTTAACAAAATGTATACTTATTGTTAAAATGTCTATAAAATATCTGATAATTTGATGTGCATATGTCTAATGATCATTTTTGACCGCCAAATGGCTCATTTTTTTTACTTTTTTCTCCATATCTCCGAAACCGCTAGACCTACCTTCATGAAAATTTTATCGATTCCTCATCTTGTCAATACAAGTGAAATGTTTTTTGAATTATTCAAATCGGACGCTCCGTTCTCTTAAAAACTGAGTTACCGTTTTCGGCACTTTTTGTCCCGTATCTTTGGAACGGCTAGACCTGCCTTCGCCAAAAACTAATCAGCACGAAATCGTCGACGAAAATTTGTATCCGCACATACATACACACACGTACATACATACATACATACCAACACACACACACACACACATACATCCATTTTTTCTAAGGTATGCCAAAATAATCAGGAACCTTTGAAACGTAAAGATATATAAAATTTTCATTTTCGATTTTTTTGCGATTACTATAACTTGCCCTACGGGAAGTTAATAAGTTTTTTAAGTTCACTAACGCAACGATATAAAAATGTAATTTTACACATATTAACGGATTAACGATTAACGTTAACTTGCGTTAATTCTTCCGAAATGTAACGCTTTAACGTTTAACGAAGTTAACTTTTTTTGTAGCGGATTAACGATTAACGAAGTTAACTATTTGATTAACGGTGCCCAGCTATGTATATATATATTTATATATATATATATATATATATATATATATATATATATATATATATATATATGTAAATCACCGTACCTGTTATGCCTCACAGATGTCACAAGCATTTAAACCCAACACAATCAAAAATTAATTTTATTATTTTTCCTAATTATTTCAAATTTCAAAATAAATCGTAATTAAGTCGTTGAACTCTAAGTTGCAACATATATGTATATATTTATATATTATATGATTATAAGAAAGTTTTGATAAGAGAGACGCAATTATCTAAATATAGACATTGCAATATGTATGTATGTTTGTTTCTTAATCATTTTATTTGAGAGCACGTTCTGTGTTATTTTTGGTCAAGATGGAAATGATCTAAGTAAGACAATATATATATATATATATATATATATATATATATTATATATATATATCCATACGAACAGATGTTGTAAGGCGCGAATTTTAAAATCAAACAAGCATTCTCAATATTGAGTAAGAAAATTTAAAATAAATACATTAGATAAAATTTTTTTTCATCATTTTATTTCATTGAATTTATTTTAAAAATCATATTTTAGTTTTTTTTTACATTTCTATATATATATATATATATATATATATATATATACTATATTAGCAATAGCAATTTACATAATAGCATACTTTCAAAAAAATTGCTATTATGTTTAATATCCTGTTCTGATAATCCACTCATTTATTTTTATCATTGTCATTGTGATCATATTATCATATTTCTGTACTTATTATTATATATTATTATATATATATATAGTATATTCTGTACTAATTATTATAATTTTTTTGCAATTAATTTATTATTTAAGAAAAATCTATTTTCTTTTCCTAAACATATTGTTTGCTGAAATCTCATCAAGATCATGTTTCTTGACAGATGTCCTGAAGATGGAACATACCTAGTTCCGAAACGTCGACAGTAAACAAATAATTAAATAAAGAAATTATTTATTAAAAACTTTTCTTGTTTTTTTATTATTTTTGGATTCTTGTTCGAAACTCTACAAAATATACACAAATCCAAGATTCTACCATTCAATATATATATAATATATATATATATATATATATATATATATATATATTAGGTTGTCAAATATCTCCCTTCCGCTTTTTTGCTCTTGGTTTATAATACAAAAAGGCGGAAGGGAGATATTTGACAATCTAATATATACATATATATATATATATATATATATATATATATATATATATATATATATATATATATATATATATATGATTTAAATTATTTATATGCTCGGTTAACATTGTTTTGAATTGTTTAGGATTTTTTGAGTTATTTTTATGTTGATGCAGGTTACTCAGGTTTTGGCTAGTTTCTCCGATATATATATATATATATATATTATATATATATATATATATATATATATATATATATATATATATATAAAACATTTGAGAATCATTAATCTTTTATCTCTTTTACTCCGTATGAGTAGAGTAGAGCGACTGCTCTTAGATATGCGGGTACAACTACGTGATTATAGGCCTGTCCACAGGTTCGATCTAAAAACGCATTTTCTAAAGCCAAAAAGTTGCTGTAGAGTGTTATAGTATTAGGCAATATTATTGATATTTTAATTTTATACAAATTTGCCGAATACATTATTTTTGTATTATAATTAGTTTGAAAGTTATAAGTAATTTTGTAAAAAAAAAATTAACATGCTCAGAAGATAAATAAAACTTAAAATGAAAAATAAAAAATATATATATTTATGTTTGACGATTTTTTATGAATGATTTTATTCTGAACGTTAAAAATTGTTATATACAGATTAATAGATAATTGTATTACCTATAATCTGTGTAAACAAAGTATCTAGATACAATTCCGAGTTTTTAAGTTATGCTTGGTTAACAAAGAAAAGGTTGACAAAAATTTTCAAGTTAGACGAGTTTTTATTAAATAATTTTATTCTAAACGTTGATAATTGTTATATACAGATTTTTAGATAATTTTATAAGCTACAATTTATCTCAACAAAGTAAATCACAATTTCAAGGTTTTAAGTTATTATTCAAAATTTGACAAAATGTCCTGACGCTTGGTGGACCAAAAAATCATTTTTATTAACAATAAAACTGTTCAAACACAATTTTAAAGTACACCAAGTTGCTGTAGGGTCTCAAAATATAAGAAAACTTTAAAGACAATTTAATTTAGAACAAATCTGCCATACATTCCATTTACTTCCAACAAAACAGTCAAAAATAACATTGATTTTACTCTTCAAAAACACTTCAAATATTTATCCGACTTCAAGCACGATTTTAAAGTACACAGAGTTGCTGTAGAGTTTTGTAATATAAGAAAAACTTAAAGCTTATTCTATCTACTAAAAATATTCTATATAGTACTTTTCGATTAATCGAACAATTCCCAAGTTACATCGACTTTCATCCATCCTCCACTCCAACGAACGAAGACAAAGTAAGTTTATTTATCCGGCTTCAAGCACGATTTTAAAGTACACAGAGTTGCTGTAGAGTCTTGTAGTATAAGAAAAAGTTAAAGCTTATTCTATCTACTAAAAATCTTCTATATAGCACTTTTCGATTAATCGAACAATTCCCAAGTTACATCGACTTTCATATGTCCTCCACTCCAACGAACGAAGACAATGTAAGTTTATTTATCCGACTTCAAACACGATTTTAAAGTACACAGAGTTGCTGTAGAGTTTTGTAATATTAGAAAAATTTAAAGCTTATTGTATATACAACAAATCTTCTATATAGCACTTTTCGATTAATCGAACAATTCCAAAGTTACATCGACTTTTATCTGTCCTCCACTCCAACGAACAAAGACAAAGTAAGTTTATTTATCCGACTTCAAGCACGATTTTAAAGTACACAGAGTTGCTGTAGAGTCTTGTAGTATAAGAAAAACTTAAAGCTTACTTTATGTACTAAAAATCTTCTGTATAGTGCTTTTCGATTAATCTAACAATTCCCAAGATACATCGATTTTCATATGTCCTCCACTCCAACGAACGCAGACAAAGTAAGTTTTTTATCCGACTTCAAGCACGATTTTAAAGTACACAAAGTTGCTGTAGAGTCTTGTAGTATAAGAAAAACTTAAAGCTTACTCTATCTACTAAAAATCTTCTATATAGTACTTTTCGATTAATCGAACAATTCCCAAGTTACATCGACTTTCATCTGTTTTCCACTTCAACGAACGAAGACG